GTAAACTGTCCTATACCAATGGGTAAATATAGACCTGGTAAACTGTCCTATACCAAAAGGTAAATATAGACCTGGTAAACTGTCCTATACCAATGGGTAAATATAGACCTGGTAAACTGTCCTATACCAAAAGGTAAATATAGACCTGGTAAACTGTCCTATACCAATGGGTAAATATAGACCTGGTAAACTGTCCTATACCAAAAGGTAAATATAGACCTGGTAAACTGTCCTATACCAAAAGGTAAATATAGACCTGGTAAACTGTCCTATACCAATGGGTAAATATAGACCTGGTAAACTGTCCTATACCAATGGGTAAATATAGACCTGGTAAACTGTCCTATACCAATGGGTAAATATAGACCTGGTAAACTGTCCTATACCAAAAGGTAAATATAGACCTGGTAAACTGTCCTATACCAATGGGTAAATATAGACCTGGTAAACTGTCCTATACCAATGGGTAAATATAGACCTGGTAAACTGTCCTATACCAAAAGGTAAATATAGACCTGGTAAACTGTCCTATACCAAAAGGTAAATATAGACCTGGTAAACTGTCCTATACCAATGGGTAAATATAGACCTGGTAAACTGTCCTATACCAAAAGGTAAATATAGACCTGGTAAACTGTCCTATACCAATGGGTAAATATAGACCTGGTAAACTGTCCTATACCAAAAGGGTAAATATAGACCTGGTAAACTGTCCTATACTAAAGGGTAAATATAGAACTATATAGACTGGTACACCTTCCAATACCAAAAGGTTAATATAGAACTGGTGAATACACCCTCTTATTATCACAGTATCTATATATATATACACATATATAGGGTACATCTTCCTATATCAAAGGATCAAAAAGTTCTGGTACATAATTCTATACCACACGATAATTATAGAGATGGCACACGTTCCTGTATCAAAGGGGAAATATAGCATTGGTACACCTACCCATACCAAGAGGTAAATAAAGAGCATGTACACCTTCTTATACCGAAGGATGAATAAATAACTGGTACACCTTCCTATACCGAAGGATGAATAAATAACTGGTACACCTACCCATACCAAGAGGTAAATAAAGACCATGTACACCTTCTTATACCGAAGGATGAATAAATAACTGGTACACTTTTCTATACCGAAGGATGAATAAATAACTGGTACACCTTCCTATAACGAAGGATGAATAAATAACTGGTACACCTTCCTATACCGAAGGATGAATATAGAACTGGTACACCTTCCTATACCGAAGGATGAATAAATAACTGGTACACCTTCCTATAACGAAGGATGAATAAATAACTGGTACACCTTCCTATACCGAAGGATGAATAAATAACTGGTACACTTTCCTATACCGAAGGATGCATAAATAACTGGTACACCTTCCTATGCCGAAGGATGAATAAATAACTGGTTTACCTTCCTATACCGAAGGATGAATAAATAACTGGTATACACCTTCCTATACTTAATGGTAAATATAGAACTGCTACACCTTCCTATACTTAAGGATGAATAAATAACTGGTACACCTTCCTATACCAAGAGGTAAATATAGAAGACTGTACACCTTCCTATACTTAATGGATGAATATATAACTGCTACACCTTCCTATACTAAATGGATAAATATATAATTGGTACACCTTCCTATACTTAATGGTAAATATAGAACTGCTACACCTTCCTATACTTAATGGTAAATATAGAACTGATACACCTTCCTATACTTAATGGTAAATATAGAACTGTTACACCTCCCTATACTAAATGGTAAATATAGAACTGCTACACCTTCCTATACTACATGGTAAATATAGAACTGCTACACCTTCCTATACTTAATGGTAAATATAGAAGTGATACACCTTCCTATACTTAATGGTAAATATAGAACTGTTACACCTCCCTATACTAAATGGTAAATATAGAACTGCTACACCTTCCTATACTTAATGGTAAATATAGAACTGCTACACCTTCCTATACTTAATGGTAAATATAGAACTGCTACACCTTCCTATACTAAATGGTAAATATAGAACTGCTACACCTTCCTATACTTAATGGTAAATATAGAACTGCTACACCTTCCTATACTAAATGGTAAATATAGAACTGCTACACCTTCCTATACTTAATGGTAAATATAGAACTGCTACACCTTCCTATACTTAATGGTAAATATAGAACTGCTACACCTTCCTATACTACATGGTAAATATAGAACTGCTACACCTTCCTATACTTAATGGTAAATATAGATCTGCTACACCTTCCTATACTTAATGGTAAATATAGAACTGCTACACCTTCCTATACTACATGGTAAATATAGAACTGCTACACCTTCCTATACTTAATGGTAAATATAGAACTGCTACACCTTCCTATACTTAATGGTAAATATAGAACTGCTACACCTTCCTATACTACATGGTAAATATAGAACTGCTACACCTTCCTATACTTAATGGTAAATATAGAACTGCTACACCTTCCTATACTAAATGGTAAATATAGAACTGCTACACCTTCCTATACTACATGGTAAATATAGAACTGATACACCTTCCTATACTTAATGGTAAATATAGAACTGATACACCTTCCAATACTTAAGGGTAAATGAAGAGCTGGTACACCTTCCTATACTAAATGGTAAATATAGAACTGCTACACCTTCCTATACTTAATGGTAAATATAGAACTGCTACACCTTCCTATACTACATGGTAAATATAGAACTGATACACCTTCCTATACTAAATGGTAAATATAGAACTGCTACACCTTCCTATACTTAATGGTAAATATAGAACTGATACACCTTCCAATACTTAAGGGTAAATGAAGAGCTGCTACACCTTCCTATACTAAATGGTAAATATAGAACTGCTACACCTTCCTATACTTAATGGTAAATATAGAACTGATACACCTTCCAATACTTAAGGGTAAATGAAGAGCTGGTACACCTTCCTATACTAAATGGTAAATATAGAACTGCTACACCTTCCTATACTAAATGGTAAATTTAAAACTGATACACCTTCCTATACTTAAGGGTAAATGAAGAGCTGGTACACCTTCCTATACTAAAGGGTAAATGAAGAGTTGGTCCTATATTGACATCCATTTCGGCCTATTTTATTTCACTTGGCTGGTTACTTTCATTGACATATTCTTGAAGGACGAAACAGGTGTATGGAGGAGTTTACTTCATTTTTTCTTTATTCTTTCCCTGATCATGATTTTTTTACTGATATGCACTATCTACTATCATGCTTTATACAATCCTTCAAAGAAAACAAAGTAAAAAATTTGAAGTCATCAATAGAAATGTTTACAAACATATAGCCTAACCCATTCGGTTATCTTATTCTTCAATACTTCTGCATGTTTGGTATCGTTAATAATTCATTCAGCATTGTTTTCGATGTTGCCTTTCTATTATTTCTGCAGTAATATAAATAATTGAATATTGGAAACGCATGACATTATAACTGTTTTACACGTGTCCTGCCAATAAATAGATATTTTGTGTGCATGTCACGTGTTGCAGTATATTTTGATTAGACATGCATGTCCTTGATATGGCTATATAATGATAATATATCAAAACATATGAATGTCTTCTTTAAAATCAATTTATCAACCATAGTTTTGTTTTACACATAATTCATAAGGTTGGACGTGTAGAATGTTACTGGAACTTTCAGCTCAAAATGGAAGTCTTTGATATGGCCATATAATGTAAAGTTCATAATAAATAAGCGTCGTTTTAAAGCCACGGTTAGCACGAGACATCGCTCTTACATGAGTTATTTAATACATGTACATACGCATTAAATCCTATAGCCTAATGCAGAGCTTTTACATATATAATATGTCAGGTGATTACACTTCACCAAGAAATGTTTTGTAATGGGTAACTTATTTTTAAAATGTTGTTTTGCAGGTGGTGTATAAAGTCTACGCATGGAATCCCATTAGTAATATGATCTCGGCAAGTATTAAAGGGAAGATTGTGTAAACCATGTAAACAAGTATTTTTTGTGTGATATAATGTAATTCTTTAGCACATTCCTATACGTGTTCATTCTTGTACTTGACACTGTCGACAAAGAGACATTTTCTTTAAAAATTTGCTCTCATATAAAAAGGTGTGTTTTCTTACATTGTTATATTCGTCTGAGAACACACCCATACAAAATAACTTCGCTATCAAACTTCGCCTGATATTGTCCCATATATGAGTAATTCAACTTGTATGCGTGTGTTAATCAAGATAAAAGTGGCTGCATATGAAACTATTTCAGTTACTTTAAATAGACTTCACAATAGTCTATTTATAAAGCATAGGTAACACTCCATCTGTCGCCCTAGTTTTATAACCATACGGAAGCCCAAACGGGGTTTACATATTCATGAATCTGGTATGGTGATAAGCTTCAAGTTTTGAAATTAAACCATTCTCGTGATGACTTGTAGAGCAGTAAAATACCTTTGAGAGAATATCCTTATGCTGATCTTGTTTCTTTCGGCGGCATTAGACTCGAAATCACTAGATACGAAACTATATTTTAAAAAGCAAGGCGCGCTTTGGCCTCCATAATCATATCTAATCATTTACATATCAGGTACGTCTATTTTGCTATTTGTGTTTTATTTGGTTCAGAAAGGAAAAAGGCTATTCTTCTCAAATCCAGGTAATATTTGTTTTAAGCACTGAATGGTACATTCGCTATATAATTGACACAGGCAATAAATAACTATATTTACATTTTATGATAACAGCTGTGAAATGAATGAAATCGACTTTTAACTAAAGTATTAATCATTTATGCTTAGAAATCAACATGTTGACATACATATTTACAACATAACCATTTTGTTGGTTTTCTTGTCACTTTTATTTTTCCACAATAAGTGATGTTTTATATCTTAAATTTGTTTGTTACATTTCTCTGTTTACAGCATGAAGATGTTCCAGTACGGGGATGAGATCGTGCTTCTGTGCCGTCTGATGCACTTAATCCATCAGTTTGGAACACTTGCCTTACGAACACTTCTTGTGAAATTGCTCTTTGTGAAGTACATTCAGTCACGCCAAGCAACGTTCACATATTTCGCTGATAAAGATATAGTTGTCAAAGAACGTAATTCTAGAAAAGAAAACAGATATTCGACAAGGTTTCGTGTACCAAATCCCCTACCAGATATTGGTAAATGTTTTAGGAATTCAAAAGACGGTGAATCTCTACGAGAATTTATTGAAGAATCCTTTCTTACCGAGATAGTGGACCGATACACGCCAACACTAGTGCACTTAAGAAATAAAAAGGTAATCAATCCGACACAGTGGGAAACTTTGTTTTCAAACAACACAGTAAACATCCATGATTTAGATATCTCTCTTCTCAGCATATTATTGTTTAATACGATGAATTGTAAACCAACTTTTAATCTGAAAACATTACCACAGAATGATGACATCACAGAAGGAGACGATGTATTGCGTATACGGATGTACAGAAACAAGTTAGCACATCTAACGTCTTTGGTAATGACGGCTGCTGATTTTAACGACATGTGGAGAAATATTAGCTGTGCCATAGTACGTTTACTAGGATCTACATACCAAAACGATGTCGATCGTCTTAAAGATATGACTTTTGACGAAGCTACCGTCATTCGGTATAAAGAACTTCGACAGGAATGGTCTGAAACCGTCACTGATATCTATCAATCACTCAGTGACATTCAAGACGAAATCAGATCAATAAAGAAAAAATCAAGACATCGGAAAGGTAACAGATAATGTGTGTTCCCTATGTATTATTCGTCTCTTTTCTCTTACCATATATATACGTATTCATGTTTTTGCTCCGATTACATTTCCTTGTCATATTTAGGTGAAGAGGTAGTAATTTCCCTATCAAGAAAATGTCATTAGGTTACAGCAACAAATAAATGACGTCAAATCAACAATCTAAACAGTACATGAATAAAAATCCAAAAGAGAAGAGAAAATAATAATTCACCACCTTGAAGGTAAGATGTTTCAGGGAAATTAGTTGGCAAGTACTCCGAATCTTCATATAGACAAGACTACTTCGCCTCGAACATCCTTTCTCCCCTTCAAGGGTGGTAAAATGCAATTTATTCGCAGTTCTGGTGTTCATTGATGTGTTATTATGGCTCGTTCTAAGCATCCTTCCATACGCAGTATTCATTTACAAGTGGACGTCTATTGGTATATAATTTGTTACAGATGGACGTCTGTTGGTATATACTTTGTTACAGATGGACGTCTGTTGGTATATACAGATGGACGTCTGTTGGTATATACTTTGTTACAGATGGACGTCTGTTGGTATATACAGATGGACGTCTGTTGGTATATACTTTGTTACAGATGGACGTCTGTTGGTATATACAGATGGACGTCTGTTAGTATATACTTTGTAACAGATGGACGTCTGTTGGTATATACAGATGGACGTCTGTTGGTATATACAGAGAGACGTCTGTTGGTATATACTTTGTTACAGATGGACGTCTTTTGGTATATACATTGTAACAGATGGACGTCTGTTGGTATATACAGTGTTACAGATGGACAGAGAGGTATATACAGACGTCTGTTGGTATATACTTTGTTACAGATGGACGTCTTTTGGTATATACATTGTAACAGATGGACGTCTGTTGGTATATACAGATGGACGTCTGTTGGTATATACTTTGTTACATATGGACGTCTGTTGGTATATACAGTGTTACAGATGGTCGTCTGTTGGTATATACAATGTTACAGATGGACATCTGTTGGTATATACAGTGTTACAGATGGAGGTCTGTTGGTATATACAGATGGACGTCTGTTGGTATATACAGTGTTACAGATGGACGTCCGTTGGTATATACATTGTTACAGATGGACGTCTGTTAGTATATACAGTGTTACAGATGGACATCTGTTGGTATATACAGTGTTACAGATGGACGTCTGTTGGTATATACAGTGTTACAGATGGACGTCTGTTGGTATATACAGTGTTACAGATGGACGTCTGTTGGTATATACAGATGGACATTTGTTGGTATATACAGTGTTACAGATGGACTTCTGTTGGTATATTCGGATGGACATCTGTTGGTATATACAGTATATACAGTGTTACAGATGGACATCTGTCTGTTGTTACGTATATATACAGTGTTACAATATATTTGTTACAGATGGAGGTCTGTTGGTATATACAGATGGACGTCTGTTGGTATATACTTTGTTACAGATGGACGTCTGTTGGTATATATTTGTTACAGATGGACGTCTTTTGGTATATACAGTGTTACAGATGGACATCTGTTGGTATATACAGTGTTACAGATGGAGGTCTGTTGGTATATACAGATGGACGTCTGTTGGTATATACAGTGTTACAGATGGACATCTGTTGATATATACTTTGTTACAGATGGACGTCTGTTGGTATATACAGTGTTACAGATGGTCGTCTGTTGGTATATACAGTGTTACAGATGGACGTCTGTTGGTATATACAGTGTTACAGATGGACGCCTGTAAGTATATACTTTGTAACAGATGGACGTCTGTTAGTATATACAGTGTTACAGATGGACGCCTGTTGGTATATACATTGTTACAGATGGACATCTGTTGGTATATACTTTGTTACAGATGGACATCTGTTGGTATATACAGTGTTACAGATGGACATCTGTTGGTATATACATTGTTACAGATGGACATCTGTTGGTATATACAGTGTTACAGAGGGACGTCTGTTAGTATATACATTGTTACAGATGGACGTCTGTTGGTATATACAGTGTTATATACATTGTTACAGATGGACATATATACTGTTACAGGTATATACAGTGTTACAGATGGACATCTGTTGGTATATACAGTGTTACAGAGGGACGTCTGTTAGTATATACATTGTTACAGATGGACATCTGTTGGTATATACAGTGTTACAGATGGACGTCTGTTGGTATATACATTGTTACAGATGGACGTCTGTTGGTATATACATTGTTACAGATGGACGTCTGTTGGTATATACAGTGTTACAGATGGACGTCTGTTAGTATATACAGTGTTACAGATGGACATCTGTTGGTATTTACTTTGTTACGGATGGACATCTGTTGGTATATACAGTGTTACAGATAGACGTCTGTTGGTATATACTTTGTTACAGATGGACGTCTGTTGGTTTATATCTGTTACAGAGAGACATCTGTTGGTATATACTTTGTTACAGATGGACGTCTGTTGGTATATACAGATGGACGTCTGTTGGTTTATATCTGTTACAGAGAGACATCTGTTGGTATATACTTTGTTACAGATATTCGGATGGACATCTGACTTTGTTACACATCTGTTGGTATATACTTTGTTACAGATGGACTTCTGTTGGTATATTCAGATGGACATCTGTTGGTATATATTTGTTACAGATGGACGTCTGTTGGTATATACTTTGTTACAGATGGACGTCTGTTGGTATATATTTGTTACAGACGGACGTCTGTTGGTATATACAATGTTACAGATGGACATCTGTTGGTATATACAGTGTTACAGATGGACGTCTGTTGGTATATACTTTGTTACAGATGGACGTCTGTTGGTATATACTTTGTTACAGATGGACGTCTGTTGGTATATTCAGATGGACGTCTGTTGGTATATACTTTGTTACAGATGGACGTCTGTTGGTATATATTTGTTACAGATGGACGTCTGTTGGTATATACATTGTTACAGATGGACGTCTGTTGGTATATACATTGTTACAGATGGACATCTGTTGGTATATACTTTGTTACAGATGGACGTCTGTTGGTATATACTTTGTTACAGATGGACATCTGTTGGTATATACATTGTTACAGATGGACATCTGTTGGTATATACTTTGTTACAGATGGACATCTGTTGGTATATACAGATGGACGTCTGTTGGTTTATACTTTGTTAGAGATGGACGTCTGTTAGTATATACTTTATTAACAGATACTTCTTACAGTCTACTTTTACATGAGCAGGATGAAGAATCAATAATTTGGCAATGTAGTAATTTGTTCATGAAATTGAAAGGACACTCAATAATCAATGACATCTAAGTTTATATTTATCCTAATTCTTCCGATTGTAGTATTATATCATTCTAGGGATAGCCTTGAAATTGAATGACAGTAATGAATTACCAGGAGCGTTAAAAGTTCTAAAGAAGAAAGGGATATCTGTCAAAGTTATCTCCCTTGATGAGACGGATAGTGACTCTTCGGAATCAATGGTGGAAACAGTGTCGAGAAGGAAAAGTACCGGATGCTTGAAATGGACAGAAGAGTTGGATGAAGAAAATACTATTCGAGCTAGTAAAAGTACACCTTGTCTTGAACCAGGAGCACTTCAGTCAAAAGAAAAGGTATTTTTGTTGATCGGATAGGATGTTACATATCTGTAAACATGTTTTGATTGAACTTGGTTTTATACAAGATCCACAATTGAACACTTTTCAATTCAATAACAGAATGAAGTAAGATATAGTCAAACAATGAATCTATTTTATCACGTAGCATTTTAGTACTTGTAAGTCGTATGCTATGGGCATAATGGGCAGCGCAGAGCTTCAATATTGACATTGACAAAACATAGACCACAATGATCTGTAAAAACTATATATTATCATTTGATGCTTACCTCAATGATACACATAAACCTATGAAGCTCTTATATTACAAAGTCTATTATTACCGATTTACAGGGTCGTTCTTGATATCTAAAGTTGTCGTTATCTTTTTTCCAATGAAAGGCGAGGCCCTTCTATGAGATGTTCTCTGGTGGTAAAGACACATCACGTGCTCCTCGACAATGGTCCTCGACTGACACGGATTTTACAGAGGACCTTTCTATCTCAGAAGGACATTCCACAGGATGCTCATCCTCATGGGATTCAATTGTAGATGAAAAGGTACAACAACGTTATCACCATAAGAAGTGATGTGACAGCTCTACAGCCATGTATGTTGATATAACAGATAGTGTAGCCCAGTACTTATATCAAGGACATTGTAAACCTGCACTATCATGACGGACGTTGTTACATGACAGGATTTGTGATGCGCTGTGTATATATTGTGAAAGCTGTAGCCCTGCATTTTAAACGTAACGGACATTGCAGACCTAATTTATATATGAAGGACGTTGTGGCCCAGTATTTATTTGACGGTCGTTATAGTCCGGTTCTTTTTCCAATTCCATCTTCTCGGTATCAATTCGAAAGAAATTAAACAACAATTACAGTTTGAGGTTATACTTATGTTGTCAATGTTTCTATGTCTGTTGATACAGGCGCCAGTGAATCTCCTACAACTGACGGGAACTCGCACGGAATCAAAGCATCTTTCTGTAACTGAACTCCCACAACCGACGGGAACTCGCACGGAATCAAAGCATCTTTCTGTAACTGAACTTCTACAACCGACGGGAACTCGCACGGAATCAAAGCATCTTTCTGTAACTGAACTTCTACAACCGACGGGAACTCGCACGGAATCAAAGCATCTTTCTGTAACTGAACTACAGCAACCAATAAATGTTCCCGAACCGCAGCAAAAACCTAAAAAGAAAACGTTCTGGCGTTCTTTTAAAGGATTGTTTTAAAACGATGGGCATATGAAATTTACACCAGGAGATGTTTCGCACTTACGGACATAAATATGAGTGATATCGAGATCACATGATAAATATGTCCTAGTGTTCTTCCTATGTGTGTACATACACATATTTTGCTAGGATATTGTGTTGTTTAGATTTATAGTTATTTTTTTATGCTTTTGTAATTCAATGTCTAAACAATGACCCCCATTGACCACTATATACGTCATAGACTTATCACAAATACTGACCAGTTATCCTCTGATCTGTTTTTATATATTTTCATTACACCGTTCATTTAAACTTATATATGAATACTTCCCTGTTGACAGAACAACAAATGGAGACTTGATATAATCAACATGTCTATGCCAACTATGGGACCAGTTTAAATCCAGGGCACACATATGTGAATACTAATATAAAGGAAAAGCAGTCAAGCATAACAATATCTTTTATACAATTTTAAGCCGTCTGCGCGGTTGTAAAATACAATAAAAAATACTCTACTGCTCAGGATTCTATTACATGCACAGTATTTTTTTACTATTGTAAATGTTATGTTATTTACAGAAACAATTACAACCATTTAACATTTGGGACACTCATTTTCTATTACACAAAACAATCGGGTTTACAGTTACTGTTTTACGTGTAGACATTTTCTCTTAAACATATTTGGTTGCATTTATTTCTTTCTCAATGTGATTTTGGGTTAGATAATATGTCTCATAGTATTGTGGAAGACCCGGATCAGAGGCTTAGTTAAGGCGATATACTTGTTACTTAGTGTTATAGAAGATCTTATTATATCTACGAACAAACAAAACACTTTACCCTCAACAAAAGGAAACATTTCGAGTATCACTTGTCATGACAAAATAGAATGGAAGTTTTATCATTATAATTTCTTTTTATAGCAACCATTTTGTATATATGATATGTATAATTATTAATTGTAAAAGTTGCCTCCCTTTAAGTTTATTTTTTGATTCGTTATACAATATATTTTATATATTATATGTCTATAAAGCTATATATCTTTTATCAATTACTTTTTAAGTGCCTATTTTAATGTTATCTGCTATACTATTATCATGTATGATTATAAAACACATGTTCCTCCTGGTGTTCTAATCTTACATTTACACACGCTAAATCAGTGTAAATTGTTTCTATATTCAGTGACGCGATTCAATGACATTTGCAATTATGTATACAATAGTCATATTTAACTGGTTCTTTTTTAACCATATGACTTGTTATTAGATAATTCGGTGTGATAAATGTCTATTTCTTAGACTTCACTGTTATGAAATATCATTAACAATATTTGCAACAATGTTTACTGAAACATTGTCAAAACTGTAAAATTGACAGTACTACAATTACAGAATGAAGCTAAACGTATATTGACTAATGTATAATTGTTGTTTGTTGAGTACACTATATCACAGGGTGTAACAAGTTTGAAGATTTAACTTATTTTGAAGATGTAGATACTATTTCACAGGCAAACAAGTACATGTGGTGAAACGCAGTTGTTAGCTTAATACTATGGTATATTATATTTCAATGTAACCACATGCCAATATAGAAACTAATTGACAGCTTTTGATCAATGTAAGTTTGCAAAACTGAATGGCAAATAAAATTCTAACACATGAGGTTTATGACGGAGACTTGGTTTTATTATTATTACTGTTAATCATTATCATTATCAAGTGTATGTATGATGTATACTCTCAGACAAAAAACAATTCTGAGCACTTAAAAATATTCGTAGATTTATCTATCATACAACCATACACTAACTACATTATATTATTGCACATTGTTTTAAAAAGTTCATTGTTTCATACAACTGGTAATTCGAATTCGTATCATCGGGGCTTCGTCGTCAACAATCAGTCGCTCCACGGGGGAGGGAGGACTAACAGGAATATCGTAGCTTGATAAATCCACAACTTCCGGTAAATGGGAAATCTCCTCACTCTTGGGGTACATCCCTAAGTCTGATTTTGCTCTCACACTGGCGGGATTTACTACATCAGGAAATCTGTTCTTCACGCCAGTAGCTGTCTTTGGTTTCTGGTAGTCAGTCACATATGTTTGGCGATAGTGACGGGTTGATGCCGATCGCTCAACCATTATCCGACCTGCAGAGATAAATCATTTCGTGAAAGTGTTCTTGTGTTGAATAGAGCATGTCAGAAAATACAAATTTCTACCGTTTCTTACCAATGATATATCATGATGGACTTCTTTTTATAAATCTTATCAATACAATATTTGTGTCCGAGATCGTAATATACGTTACGATAGCAAGGGTGTAAACTTAACGAAAAAAATAAAAAAGGAAACAAAATGCAGTTTGAATGTACAGGTGTAAAAAACATGTACTCTAAAATAAAGATGTAATACATAAAAAGAAGAAATTATTCTTGAGTAAATTTTATAATTTGATATTTGTTTAAAATTGATATTAATGTACACATCCCATAGCATCCATGTAAAGCACATATTGATATATCAACATGTATGTATATATGTTTCAAAATATATATGATAGAGTCGCACACTGACACCCAGAGACATCTACATAGGTAAAAGATGGAGAGAAGCCAGATAGAAAGCAGTAAACCTTAGTTATAGCTAGCAGAATATAATGGCTAATACAGACACAAATGTACAGGGGACACAACTCATCTTATATCACACCATTCGATTGATTTATCTACAAATAACACAGACACTAACGTACAGGGGACACAAGTCATCTTATATCACCACATTCGATTTATCTATCATTATTACAGAAACACACGTAAGAGGACACAAGTCAGCTTATATTACACCATACGATTTATCTGCCATTAATACAGACACAAACGTACAGGGGACACAGCTCATCTTATATCACACAATTCGATTGATTTATCTGCCATTAACACAGACAAAAACGTACAGGGGTCAAAAGTCATCTTATATTACACCATACAATTTATCTGCCATTAATACAGATACTAACGTACAGGGGACACAACCCATCTTATATTACACCATACAATTTATCTACCATTAATACAGACACTAACGTACAGGGGACACAACTCATCTTATATCACACCATACAATTTATCTGCCATTAATACAGACACTATCGTACATGGGTCAGAAGCCAGCTTATGTTACACCATACAATTTATCTACCATTAATACAGACACTAACGTACAGGGGACACAAGTCATCTTATATCACACCATACAATTTATCTGCCATTAATACAGACACAAACGTACAGGGGACACAAGTCAGCTTATATTACACCATACAATTTATCTGCCATTAATACAGACACAAACGTACAAGGGACACTAGTCAGCTTATATTACACCATACAATTTATCTGCCATTAATACAGACACAAACGTACAAGGGACACTAGTCAGCTTATATTACACCATACAATTTATCTGCCATTAATACAGACACAAACGTACAAGGGACACTAGTCAGCTTATATTACACCATACAATTTATCTGCCATTAATACAGACACAAACGTACAAGGGACACTAGTCAGCTTATATTACACCATACAATTTATCTGCCATTAATACAGACACAAACGTACAAGGGACACTAGTCAGCTTATATTACACCATACAATTTATCTGCCATTAATACAGACACAAACGTACAAGGGACACTAGTCAGCTTATATTACACCATACAATTTATCTACCATTAATACAGACACTAACGTACAGGGGGCACAAGTCAGCTTATATTACACCATACGATTTATCTGCCATTAATACAGTACAGGTTCGATATCTTCCAATATACTTGTAACAAAAACTTACAACGCGTATGCACCGAGAATAAAGCTTCACAACAAAAGTATTCGAACTACATTTCTAGATCGTAATATAGTTTAAATCATTGCATTGATTAATATTATGTAATACTTTTGAATTTATCTATCAGAAAGCCAGTGGAGAAAAATATCTTTGACTGTCCAACAACAATCAATGTGCAATATCACAATGTCAGTAACAGGTAAAACATCTGATTACTAAAGGGACAAAATTCCCAAATTCATAACATACAAAGTGAACGTGTCTAGAATGACGTAAAATTATTATTTTAAGTGCAAGATACTACTCTAAGTTAAAGAAATAATACGAAAACAACCATATACCTCTATCTACAGTGTCTAGACTACATTTTACTATTGTTTTATTCCTTTATGGTAGACAAGCAATTTCCTTTTATAGTATTTCAAATAAGTAAGATGATATAGACACAAGGTAACAGGCGCTTTATTATGTGTAAGCTTATCACCAACTCCCATTATATTCCTGATACAATATTACCAGATTTCGTGTTCTCTTCTGTGAAAATAAATAGCATAACTTAAATACAAAATTAATTAGATAATCAAAAGGTCTTGTAACGATGTTCCTTCATTAATGTAATTTGATTAATTAATTAATGATTTTAACTTTAAATATAATAAATACAAGCCTTTAAAACCTTACCTTTGCCTACGATCTGTGCGTCGCCTAGAATCCGTTGATCCCTTGGGGTGAGCAACTTTTGAGACGATATAGAATTACCGAATATAGTCTTACTCCTCGAAAGCGTGAGAGTAACTCCTTTTACTAATTTAGCCTTATGTCTTTGTACTGGGCCCCACACATCGTCCGAGCAAGGTTCGGTTAACACTATTGATAAATTGTCGGTATCTCTTGTATTTGGTTCTGACATAGAACGCTGTGGAGGCAGTTTCTTTTTTCCACTTTTGGTGGGAGGTACAAGTTTACCAGAAGAAGCTGGTTTTGAAGTTTTGGCAGGGAAGTTTTTACTGGAGTCTTCTAGCACATCACTACAATCACTGATAGACTGCTGTCGACCCACGGCTTTCAGAGGAGAAACACTTAGATTTCTATTCCTGTCTGTATCTACAACAGGCAAAATTGTCTGTTCATTTGATTTTGTTTCCTTTGATGAATCGTCGTGAACTTCAAACGACCTTTTTGTAAGGTCATCATGCTTGCCACCCCTATCTGAGCCCCACGCATACAGTTGTTCATACGTTGGAGCTGAATATGGCACATTGGAATATTTACCATTGGAGCCGTCTTTTATACCTATTCTACTTTCTGGTTTTATGGAAGCTATGATCTTCTGTCTTTGAAACAAAAACGATTCATTTTGCTGACGACTGAGTGTTCTATGTCTCGTCTCTTGTAAAAATTGCACATATCTCCTGTATGAAGTGGGATTTATCATAGGGGTGTTTATTTCAGCGGGTAATCTTCCCTTTTCCAGGAAATGGTCTTTGTTTGTGATGGAATCACTTTGTGATGTAAACTGTTGATCCCTCGTAGGGGATTCCACAGACAGTCCGACTAAATGAAGTCCACTTTCAAACCTGTCCAACAAAAGGTTGTACGTGGCGGCTGTAGAATTAACTTTTCTTTCCTCGAGGGATTCAATAACGTCAGATTCTGAAAAGCTGTAGGTGTTTGTCATGTAGTGAAGCACCGATTCGTGAGGTGGTACTGGTGTAACATGGGGAAGCGTTGGCTGGCGATGAATATGTTCATCGTACCCTACTGACATCCAGACGTGGTGTAGAACCTCTTCAATCCTTATTCGACGTCTGTAGTCCGGTTGTAGCATGCGTTTTAATAAATCTTTGCATTCTAGATCAACGAAATCAATATGATTCGATTAATCACAATGTAAGTATGATAAAAGGAAAATATCTGATCCCTAATTGAATGAATAATGCATGAATATATGACAGTTTGAGAAAAACAAGATACAAGCATAATGTCATTACTCATGATGAGATAACCGATATATGTTCCAATCGGGGTGGATTTCGAATAGCATTGTACTTTAATTAATGTCAAAGATAAACCAAGAGGCATATGAATAGAGATTTGTATTTTACATATTGTAAACCATTGTTCTGTAAACGTCGTAACCAATTGTGTGTGACCTATGATATTGTATGGCGTCAAGCTGTGTACAATCACAGTACGATCATTTAAACAGCAGTATGCCTAACAGAAATTAGAGGGAAAATATAAGAATTTTTGACAAAAGCTATGAAGACTCATTAAATTTCTTTTAAAAGAAACATAAGCCATTAAAGAACTTTTAAATGCGTCAGTTTCATTTTCGAATATAGATCTACTTTTTAGATAAAATGCAAATTAGAAGAACAGAATGCTACTTAAAATACGCATATAATAAATCAATAATCAGAGTTAATTTTAATGACATATTTTGAAAGACTGAAATAGAACAAAACAATGCGTATGATTTTTCTTAGTTCTGCAATCCAACTTACCTAAAGAGAGTTCTTCTGGAATGGAACAACCTTTCAGAATTAAGGCGTGAAGTTGGGCGAGGTTATTAGCTGGTTGGGGTACGAATGGCAGAGTGCCGATCAGCATTGCATACATACACACTCCACTACAATAAAGATGATAGCCATAGTCAGTAGTAAATTATAATGTTGATACGGACAAACGACAAAAGCTATCTCTTTACTGACATATACACTGTTTTCAATATAATCGAAATAATGAAATATAACTAGAACTGCCTTGTGCGGTTGGAATAAAAGAACGCAATACACAATAGCATTTATTCCAATCAACAAGTCTAAATGAAATATGTTGAAGTGCGTGAAGCCATAATCATTAGCTACTGATTACCCGTATAGTAATGGTTAGTGTTATTCACAAATGTAATTTACTACCCAAGGTATTCTCTTTCGCGACTGTCAATGGGAGGACTTATGAATCACAGTTCCATAAAGGTCAATTGTTGACAGCTGCAAATCAAATACACTATATCTATTAAAATATGTCGACTGTAGATACTCATTGTTCTAAGTTAGCAATACATACAGACTCCAGATGTCCACGCTTGATCCATACTTCTGATTGCTGAAGATTTCGGGGGCGGCGTAAGCTGGCGACCCACACTGTGTACTAAGCGATGTTTCACCATAGAACACATTACTGAGTCCAAAGTCTGGAAATAAAACATAACTGTATGAAATATGTTCAATGACAAAATTTGAACATATTATACGTTTTATTAAGTGTACTGTTTTTATTTCATACAAGCTTGTTAGCAATCTAATCATTCAAAATATTCTTAATCCAGAAAAAAGATTAGGTTTCTTTTAAAACTGACTTCAACAATGCTTTGTCGTAGATTTCTATAAATCAAGACTTCACAAAACAGCATAAAAATGAAATTCAAAAAGGAACAGCGTAGCACTTGAACAATAATAATGACTATCACATACCAGAATCAGTCTAAAATATTAGTATTACATTGTAATTTCAATAAATAAAGCTCAATCGCTTCATACTTGTTTACACTTTACTATCATTACGTTCCGTTGGTAGATGCTGAAAGTGCGTCAATACATCATTAAGTTATTGTGCAGGTTGACGTTATGTATATCAATGAGTTCTCGTTTACCGCTGATATCAATTTGGACTTGTTAAACAGAAATCAAATATAACGAAAAGGACCATAATAGAGAGAGTCAAGTCAATAAGTTATATATTGTCTTTCAGGATGTGTTCCATTAATGGACGAGGTGATTAAATGGTTAATTCATTGGGCTGCCTGTGATTGTAATATATATATCAATACAGTATTTTAACGAATAATTACTTTCAGTAACTGATATACACATTTTAAGCCAATGAATAACGAACAAATATTTCAATATAACGTTACAGCGGAGGTTTCTAATCATTATTATTTTTCATTATTTATAACAAACATAACATTGTAAAATTTCAGTGGAAATAACATTGCCATTATGAAGTATCATTAGAATATAGCAATACTTTAGTCAGAGTTTTTCAGTTTTATCTACCACTTCATTGATTACATCCATACCGAAGGACACCTTTCTCCTCCTACTCGCTACTACATCGATGGTCCCAAAAACAACAAATGACTGAGCGAAGTCAAAATGCATCACAGGGTGATTGTCATACAGTATTTTTTCTTCAAAATATCATTAATGTTATATCTAACACGTGTTAAAACCCATTTCTTTGTCATTTGTAAACTTTTAGGCTATATGCAGGAATTTTACATATACTCTACTTGTTTGTTAGGGCATCCTGTGAAATATACAAACGTGAATGAATGATGTTTTATTACCTTTGCAATATAATCGATTGAATCTTGAAGTTAAACAACGGAATAAATACAAATATTTATCTATTTTCGTGCAGAAAATCTGTACAGACATTACCGCCAATATAATGAACGTTAATTTGAGAAAAAAATCGAATTTATAAACCAGTTATATAATTAGAAAACACAAATAAAAGGCATACTAAATTACTTTAATTAAAGGTCATTATATTGGCTAACTTGCACTGTGTGAGAAAGGAAGTGTGTACTTATCGACTTTGTATAAAACCTGAGTAGGAGCTAATGAGGTTTGGATGGCTACACGATCGGGATTTGATCGATATGTGTTTACAGACACAATGGACTATAGAAAGTAATCAACAGCTCGATAATGATCGTGTTTTTAGATATGTATTGGAACAAAAGGAAGTACATATGATAATTTAGTTAATAGTGATAATTAATTCCGTTGCTGAATATAGCCGATTTAAGGTAGCTTGATTACACCTATAATTATTGCTCTACACTTGAGCATTATTTGTTTATGGCTGCCTGCACAATGGTAAATGTTGAAATAACAAATATAGCAAACACAATTAAAATTTCATCAATATTATAAAAATATGTAATTGGCACTCATATAACAGCAGCATGGAATCATGTTCCTTAATGATTATTCTAAATGTATTGTTTTAAGCACCAATAATGCGGCGTTGAAATTTTAAGCGTTTTTTGTGTGGATGTGGTGACCGCTTGGATATCTATTTTAACAGCTGACATTTCATGAGTACACGGTGTAATCACATACGATCTTAATTTATAAAACACTTTACAATATGAGCCTTTGGTATTGTTAGCTAAAATTAAATAAACTACTATCTCTAAAATACATGAAACATATTTATACCTACCAATAATTTTGATATTCATATCTTTATCGAGAAGGAAGTTCTCCAGCTTCAAATCTCTGAAATTTGAATATGATAAAACATTTATTTTTATTTTGTATTTCCCTCATTCGGCATGTTGTCAAAATCCAAAAGAGTACATTAATCAACTTTATGTCATTTTGCCTTCATAGACGATCTTTTTTCTTTCTTTTCTTTTTTATAACGCCCGTGACAATACATTTGTGATATATTGTAAAACATTACAAATGTGAAATCTTGAAAAAAAAATTATTTCATAAAATGATTACAACTTACCGATGTACAATATTAGATCTGTGCATGTGGTCCACTGCCGATGTTAGCTGCCGCAAGAATCGTCTACATTCAAATTCTGTTAAGTATTTCCTACAAATTTGAAATATTAAGCGAGATAAGATAGATTTAAGGACTTCAGCGATCCTCCCTACTAGCTCAAAAAAAAATCAGTTCGGAGGAATTTTGTTCTGAAAATAAGTAATCAAAAATATGGATCACTTAAAATCGGATTACAACTGTGTATGTTTTTGATAATTGAGCATTTCTTGGATTAAAGATAATAGGACGAAATGAAATATAAAGTTTCATTCTATAACCACACAAAGAAATTATATTGGTGTCGTGTATAGTTTAACCCCAAATGCATTTTCGAGCTAATCACAAGGCAATAAGACAACCTCCCATATTGAAGAGTAGGGGACGACTTTGGTACGATGCAAGATATCAAGTTTACCAAGTTGCGATGAATTCAAAATAATTGTAGTCGTAGTCTCAGAACAAAGTGGGGATTATCTATTCTATAGTACTATTTACTCTCATAACGGTATAATAATATAAACAGTGCGATTACTTAAATGGTCGGGGTCTACAGATAGACACGACAAAAGTTGTAATAAATAAAGGAAATAGGTTATTAATATATTTGTTGTAATACACATTGTAAAGCGTCGAAATCTCATAAACAACAATTTAAACAATAAAGATATATTTACATCACTATATTAAGAGATCTACAAATAATATATTCTACGTTTATATTTACTCCACAACCTTATTCTGATTTGCTCACTTTCCAGATAAATATTTCATGAAGTCGCCTCCATCCGCATATTCCAAGACTATGTAGTACGTATTCTCTGTTTCCATCACCTCGAACAGACGGACGATGTTAGGATGTTGGAGTTTCTGTAATACTACTGCCTCCCTGTGTACGTTTTTCCTTACATAGTCCCTAAGGAGAATGGCCTTCTTCGACACCACCTTCACCGCTACCTATACAACACACATCAACACAAGTGTGACGAGTAATGTATAAAAACGATTGAAAGAAAGTATAATGATAAAATATGGATTCATCTTTGAGCGAAATGTTACAAAAGATTACACAATCAGTTGATTTTAACAGTCATACATTCTTACGTACTCTAGTTTCTTGTGATCTCATTATGTGAAAATCGTGGTTCATTTTTTCAATGGCATATTATTATTACGAATCACTAGTATATGCGAAACAGTGATTTAAAGATATTTTTTTATGTATTATCGCAAAAATGATCAAATGGAATTGATAATAGTACAAATGAACAGTGGTATTGTTCAATTGTCTTTTCATAGACATGAACATGTTATGAACTGTTACCAACATAGATTATGACAAAATAGATTGATATATTGACTTTCAAACACTGTTTTCGGTACTGCAATTACATGTAACATGACTTCGTATAGAAAGTGGCGTCTAGTTGAATAGATAATCAAATATTCTTTTATTGAATGTTCGATGATAATGATGATTTATTGTCAAATAAATATATGAATAGAATATTAAACAAAATATATTTCAAAAATCGTTACCAGTAATATTTGATATCGATCATGAAACATTAATTTCACATATAATTAAACTGTGTATTGGGGATTACTGTAAGGTTTGGTTTGTATTTTTATATCGACCTACACTGCAAATATTCAATTAACATTTTGTAATCGATCACTACTTGGTTCTTTTAAATGCTGAAATGACTATAATAATTCAATGTACAGAAACATAATACTTAAGAAAGAAAATTGATTTTGAAATTAATTTAAATGTTTTATATTATTCATTGGATGATAAAATCACTTGTTAACTTTGAATCAAAACCACAAGATTACATTGCATATCACTTACATATACATATAAACCTTTTTTCTTATGGCCGTGTATATGAATGGGTGAGATATAGTGGTTCGTTATAGTCATTCAAGCATAATAGAACCTATTAATAGTCCATGTAACAGATCAAAGAGCGATATACCTATGTCTGCTCAAAACAGACACCTACATGATCAGATTTTGCCATTTGAAGTTGTTTTATCAGGAAGACATGCTCTTGTTGTTGGAAATGCTTGTGTCAAATATGCCCTCGATTTTCAGTATTCACCTTTCAATATACGGGAGCTTCGTTAAACACTCACGAGTTTTATTTGCAATCATTTTCATATTTTATTGTACAGTCCGGGTATTACAAATTCTTTAAATATCCCTCAGCTAATAAATATGTTTATAGTGGGCCCCTGTTCACCAATTACGGACATGATATATGAGACAGGGACAGAAAAAATAAAGCTGCCAAATATTTTTTTTCCACAGAATGAAATCATATCTGATCATCCAATTATTCTATATATAGAGGATCAACATCATATATTTCACAAGCGTGCCAAAATATTTTTCACGAATGCGAAGCACGGGTGAAAATATACACTATTATATTTAATAAGACTTTCAAAGAGAATATAAACCACTGTTCAAAATGTTTGGGAGATAATGGCACATTCTTTTACGTCAGATACTTTGACGTTAAGTCAATTATAGACCAAACTTTAAAAAATGTGTACAAGATAAGTATTTGATGGAGAAGCAGCGAATTCGCTTCATTTGTGTCCACACAGGAATACCAGAGAGCTTCAATGAAGTAACTAGAACGAATCATTCTTATTAGTAAAAACAAAAACAAGTGATGCCATCTCTAGTGACGTTACTAATTTTACTTATATCATCATAGCATTAGTGATAATGCCATTTAATCAAAACGATACATTGCTATATTTCTCTTATTTTTTATTCATTCAAATAGACTAAATAAAAATACTTTTATTGGGTAGTGCGAGTTTTTTAAACTCAGACACCACTAAAACAAAATAAACCGTATTTAAAACATTGCCATATGCACTATGTAGACACTGTACAAACATGTTGGCAAAAGCAACACAGGTGTTACGAGGCTATATCTAAAGTTTAACATTAATATACTTACTCAATTCATGAGATTAAAAACCGGAGAAGGCGTTAAGTACCACTATAAATGTGTATTAAACACATAATGTTGGAGGACTATACATCAAAGCAACGAAAGTTCGATAAATATAGAGGTTATGACTACAATAAAGTTCATGATTTCAAGGTTTATTAATTTTAGGTATATGTACATATGGTAGGCATGATACCTAAAGGAAATAAGATAGGCGCGTTTACACATTTGACTAGATGAAAAGAAAGTCTGCTGACTAATAACTAAAATCAATTCAGCTACATGATTCGGATCCGAGCACAGCACCCGTTAAATTATTCATAAATCAAGAAATAAGTTTCAAAAGAACTCGTCTAACGACATTTTAATGGCAAGAAAACTGAGCCATTCGCTTTAATAACAAAATGACCCGATATTTCGATGTGATGCACATCATACATGTAACACGTCAATCTGTTGAATGTTAGGAGCCTTTTTATTATCAGTATGTGTAAACTTCTAAAATAATTCATTATAATGTTTTGTCTAGAATCCTGTTGTTGTTAAAAGTTATTGACATCTGATTATTCTACGATGTTACACCATGATCTACATCAACATATATACACCTAATCACATATAGACCTTATGCTTCAGAAAATACTTGTAGCGTATATATAAGCTTTTTATGGGGGTTGCGCTTTCCTCTTTTCGGTTAAGATATAAAGTAACAAAATATTTACCTTTTCTCTTGCTAGGACATGGAATCCCTGACGAACCTTAGCAAAGGAACCTTCTCCAATTGTTTGTCCGAGGATATAGTTCCCGACTTTCTTCTTTCTGTCGAATGGAACATATTTCTCTGTAAACTGCCTCTCAAACTTCTCCATGACCTGCAACATGTCGTGGCCGTATAATTTCGGCAGTACTTCCCATGATGAGCTTATTTTAAGACTACAAATATTGTTTGTTTTATCTAGTCCATTGTGTTATTTTACTGTGAGTATCAATCATGGGTAGCTGTGTATACAACACTTTGTCGTATTTGTTTGAGCGCTATACCCATGCCATTGAACAGCATTGTTTATAATATATAGTATTGTCAAATTAAAACCACTCCGAAAACATGCACCGTGACTCCTTAAGGTTCATTGTACTGAACACGTTGTTCTGTCAGCCACATTTTACAGTAGTTATAACCAGTAGATCTCGTTCACATGGAAGTTCCACATAATGTCATGATGCATTACAATATTCCACAGTTGTAAATTTACAATTATAGACATGATGTCCTCGTGTCTCCTTCCGTACGTATGGTATAATCCAATACGTTCAAAGTACCAACTAGCGGCTTTTAACGGATATTCAAATGTATAATGAAGTTATTGCTCAAGCGTTCAGAATCAGGCAGCACTTTCTGTTAATCAATAAACGGTAGTGAATAGACTGTTTTGATATTTTCATCACATCGCATATGCGATTGTTCGGTTAAATAAGCTCCATTTAAATAACTTAAACATGAGGTTACATTTTGAAGGAACTAACGTATCTATTACACTGACAAGGAAAGGCGCGTCACTAACTCAATCATGAACCTTATATAGCTAACAAATCGTCAGTCTATCAAGGATGAATAACATTAATTCAAAAACACGCTTGGTTTGGTCTAATTATAATGAAATTACATGCACACTCACTATCATATTGACTAAAACAGAATACTTCTTTAAACATTCTGATAGCGATTTAGTACTTTGATATTTAACGACATAAAAAGAAATCTAATATTATCATTAATGGCTAAGGAACTTCGAACTCCTATATCACTATTGCTGGATAGATTCGCCGTCACTAACGCACACTAATGTTTCTATAGACCAACGATAACGGTAGACGGGAATCAATGCCGTGTATCCCCATATCGCGTGGAAAATCTCGGCGAAATAAATACACCTGGTGTAGTTCACATCAAATCACTTCGTTCAATAACCGTCTTCGTCGGTCATTATATTACATAACGTGAAATCCCCAACCAGGTACACCCTCCTGGGAGAGAATCGATGATGTCAAAAAGTCGAGCCGTCTAGATCAATTATTCTGCCGTCCGCAATCCTAGTACTCCGAAACGGAAAAACTCCGTGGTAGAAATACTGCAGTCAACACCACAACCTGACGAATAGATTCAGGATAAATGATACTTCACCAGCAATATCTGAGCAACAGTACACTTTATATAATTACGATATTGCATACCTATTACTTCATTGTAATAATACTAGCTCTAATTTTTCGCTGATAAGACATAATTTAGAATCATCTTCATTATTTTATCGGTGTCTCAGGCTAAGTGTTTGAAACCTGATAAATGCTACATTACGAGATTTATATATCCATTCCTTTTACATCGTTGATGCCTTAACACTTCATTACTCCAAGGACGTGTATGTTACTCATAGAGGTTGATTTTCGTTTTAATCTCAAACAAGCCTTCACGATACACGATACAAAGTCTTATCGGGCGTGTGAAGCCCTATAGCTGTAAAACTATTGACCTTTCGACGAGGTGGTATTCTACTACGGCAAATAAATTAATATACGTCTTTTCAGCAAAGTTCAATGAGGTGTATTGTATGTTTGTTTGAGGGATTCAAGACGACATATAATTAACAATGGTCATTCTATGTCTCAAAAACGTTTGATAAATTAAATACCATCCCTGCTAAAAGACTACTATATCTCTATCAAAAACAAGACCCTATTAACGGGGTCAAGGGTGGGATTTACAAACTACAAATGCAGTCTACATTGTCAATGTATTGAATTTCATAATTGAAATCCGATATCTTAGAACTGTTATTATGGTTAGAGACTAGATACCAAATGCTGTATGTCTCCGCTTTAGGCAGTTTTCAAGGGACACGTCCCGGTGATGACAAACCACCTATCGGATTTAAGTCTGAGTCTATTTGACATATGACACGGTCTGTTTGATTGATTACCGTTCATACCAGTTCTTTAGTAATAGTCAAATGTTACCTGATTAATATTCCAATTAAGCGGCACGTGTACCTTGATTTATACATGTTTTGTACGAATTCTTTGGTATTATCCAATAGTTCGGTGAAGTTTACAAATATCGTATGCCAGGCACGAAATCCGTTGTACGTAATATTTTAAAGAAGTTTTAGCCACATGTTAACATACGATATGAAAGCGGACCAAAGTTTTAGTGTATAGTCTACTCAATGGAATGTATGTATATATATATATGCAATGTATATGAAATGGATTTGAAAATATCAAAGCGTCATCTGTGTTGTAATTTAGATATTCCTCACAGAAATTTAACTTCAGTAAAGTATACCAAATCTTGATATCACATTTAGATACATAGGTTACAGTAAAAACGGTGATTTATTTACGTCGATTAGTATACTAGTGATCAGCTTACGGAGATTGATATCCTGGTACCTACGTACTATTACGATCTTCAAGACTTCTCGACACATTCAAAGTGTCAATTATATGCAACTTATGACAAATATTGATATTTTGTTTACTGCAGATAACACAATAAATCATAATTTAAATATGTCGCTTCCAGTAGTAAAGTCTATAACAAATTACAGTCAAACCGCTCGACTGGCCATCCGTATTAAGCAACGCTCCTTTATTCAGAAAATGCCAATTCTTTGTCACAGAAACTGGTACATCCTGCGTCATTACGTTGTAAATAATTCATCCCTACGAAAGATATCCACTGTAGAAAACCATCTTTGTAAGACGGGCCTTATTGATTAACTAGCTCTGTTAAGAAACATCTTCTGTCCATATAAACAACCTCTATTAAAAACCACCTTCTTTCAAGGAACCATCCCGGCACCTTCATTACAAGATAAAAACAACGACTCTATTATGATGTCACACATTTTCTATGACAAACCACATTTGTATAACTCAAGACAATGACAGCCTCTGTTAAGGGAACACCTTTTCAAAAGAGACTACTTTTGAAAGAGACCGCATTTTTAATACCTTTAGATATGAAACACGATAAGGCGTTAAGAACCATATACAATTTGCGCCGTAAAAATCATTTAAATAGACTTTAATAATTCCTTTGGGTAACACCATAATGGCATGGGGTATTTGAAGTGCAGGTGTTATAGTTGAGAAGTGGATGCTATATTCAAATAAAGTTTTGATTGAAGTCGAGTTTAAGCACAAAATATGATTAATCGTGTCATTGTGTCATGCAAAATGGAATAGCTCTGTAACGTTAAGAAATGTACCATAATCTTAGATCCGTTTACCTAACGAATGCACTAATCTTTATAACTCCCATCTACATAAAAAATCAAAAACATGACAGGATGAATTTTAAACTGGAAAGGGTTTCAAGATCAAACAGATAACGCGATTAATGTATTCAAGTTATGGAAGAAACGTTCCAATTAAAAATATCGTTTTGTGGTGCATTTGAGTAAAATGTCACCAAGCCAATATCACGTCATCTTGTCTGTTTACTTGTACCTATTTCCTAACCTTAACATCAAGTAAGTCTCAAAGTGTGTTCCATACACATAGTGTAGGTGTGTTTTACTGGTATCGTATCTAATATTGACTAAGCTAATTTTTTAATCTTGAACAAATAAGCATTTTTATTAGTCTTGTAGTTGCTGAAATTTATTTGTCGAGACCCTCTTAAGAAGAATTTCCATACATACTAGTTTTTAGATTTCAAAGGTTTTCGTGTTGACATTGGTTCGATAACATCATTAAACGTCAATACCATATTTCAAACAAACGTTATCATAAATATGTAAATATCCTGATTAAAAAAACAGACTTTTCAAAACCGTAACACGAACGCTCTCCCATTTGAATGTCGCATTGGATTCAAGGAAACAAATATTTGAAAAAAAAAAACAATAAAACCGTATCTTAACTACATCGATGGTAGATATTCTGTGAAAATCTACAAAACCCCCGTTTCGCGAAATGACACAATTTTTGGACATTGTATGTGATTGGAAATTTATCGACTAAAACACAATCCTCTGTGAAAGGAAAGATCGTTATATCTATATTTCATTTGTTCAGAAAGCCTGTCTTCATTCTCATAATGTGATTATTATAACATTATTTGATAGCAAAACTCATTTAGGATTTTGAAACCCCGTTAAGAAGCCATTAATGTGAATTACTGAAACATTAATGGATATTTATTGAATCACAATCTCGACTTAAAAATGACAATAACATCTACCAATCACTTTTGAAATATTTTACTATTTTCCCGTCTCCTGCCAATTATTGCGGAAATCAGCAACTTACGAAATCAAGTAATTGGCCAAGTTAGTGCGAATAGATTGCATTTACAACTTAACAAACAGGTACACATACCTCATCATATCAACACAGCACTTTGGTGGAGAATGAAATGTCATTGATGATCTGTCGCCACATAGACGTTCCTCCACCTCCGAACATGGCTCTTATCTTTCTCAGCTTAACCGAAAGGCGCCTTTTATCTTTTGTTTCTGTTTTGTTGAATCAACTACCTAATCGGGTTTGAGCTCTCGATCAATAGGGACACTGACGTGAGTGCGAACACAAACCTCTTCGTGTGTTGACAGAACACGATTTAATAAGGTTGTGAGTTGTCTCCTACACATTTAATATACACCATTTGATGTGCAGATGTTTTATTCACATCTGTATTTCCTGACAATTTCGAGTTGTCAGTATGTACACATTGCAAATAGCTGTCTATCACATAAGGCATGGAATTTAAACAAGTATGCTATTGACGATAATGAATTCCTCTATTGAAAATGTGGTTTTTCAATTATTTTGTGAAGTGTTCAATTGTTCTGCACTCCTAAAGACATAGTCTTAG